GGACTTCAACTCCCAGAATTCCCCAGCCAGCTTTGCTGGCTGGGGAATTCTGGGAGTTGAAGTCCTCCAGGCTTAAAGTTGCCAAGGTTGGAGACCCCTGTTCTAAAGTGTGACCGGCACACACATCTTTCACACTTCCACTGTACCTATCCCTTGGTCTCTTTGACTGTTCCTTGCACAACCAGGAAGAAGCCCAGGCTCCTTGGCACCCACAGGGGTCATCAAGAGGAAGAGGGCAGATTCTGCTCCTAATGCCAGAGGTCCACAAAGGTCTTCTGGAAACCCCACACACAGCATTTGAGAATCCTGGGTTTATTCAACCCATCTAGGGCAAAAGGTGCATCAACAGCTCCAAGGCAGGGAAAGACCCCTTGGATTTAGAAGAAGGGTTCCAGTGGGCCATGGAAGCTGCTCCAGCATCTGCCCACTTCCGGATTCAGGATTGAACTTCCGGGCTGGGGGAAGAGTTTTCCTGCAATACCGCATTCCAACCACTGTGCCACCAGCGCTCGATTGAAAACATCAACTATAGAAAGACCGAGTGTGATGGGCAGACACCATGAAGCTCGCCCTGGAGTCAGCGGAAACTCCTGGCAATAAGGGGGTGATCAGGCACCCCAACTCTTACTTTGATGCAAGTATCCCCATCCGACAACGTAGCATTTGTAGTGGTCTGGGAAAGACATGGAAGCTTCTGGCAGGCATATGGGTTGAATAAATCGAGATCTCACTGCACAGCGTTGGTTGACTTTCTTGAGCTTAATTAAAACTGCAAGAGAGGGGAAGAATAGGATGAATGTGGAAGGGAGTGAATTATTATTAGATGGCCTTCTGCCCCGTGGCCTTAGTGCTTATTCTACACTGAAACTAGTAGAAAAACCAAAATGCACAGGTACAGAATAGGTGCTATTCTATTCTATTCTATTCTATTCTATTCTATTCTATTCTATTCTATTCTATTCTATTCTATTCTATTCCTAATTCTAATTCTAATTCTACTGTATTCTATTCTTTATTCCAATATTCTGTTCTATTCTATTCTATTCTATTCTATTCTATTCTATTCTATTCTATTCTATTCTATTCTATTCTATTAATTCTAATTCTAATTCTACTCTACTTTATTCTATTCTTTATTCCGATATTCTATTCTATTCTATTCTATTCTATTCTATTCTATTCTATTCTATTCTATTCTATTCTATTCTAATTCTACTCTACTCTTTATTCTGATATTCTGTTCTATTCTTATTCTTATTCTATTCTATTCTTCATCCAAATATCTATTCTATTCTATTCTTATTCTATTTTATTCCATTCCATTCTTAATTCATTCTACAATTATTCTATTCCATTCATATTCTATTCATATTCAAATCTATCCTATCCTATCCTATCCCATTCCATTCCTTACTCTACTCTACTCTACTCTACTCTACTCTACTCTACTCTACTCTA